CCAAGCAATGGTAATCTGAAATCAGCCATCTGAGATAAACGAAATATTTACTCCCCTCCAAACCAAATTTACCAATATCCACAAGCTATTTTAGACAGGGCTCTTCATCGAAGAGTCACTGTTCATAAGATGAGGAAAATTCCAGCAAATGAAAAGCCAAACTGGGACATTGCGTTCAAGGCGACTGGAGGTCTGTTTCTTGAACCATCAATCACTGAAGGAATCCTACGTGTCTTTTGCAGCTCAGTCAGTCTTAAAACAGGATTTGGTAAATGTGTGTGGACTGAGGTGTGCGCAGCCTGAACACATGCAATGGACCCTCCAGGGCTGGCAGGGGACCCTCTCCAGCGCCAGAGCTCAGGAATCTAGGCTGACACTATATGCATCAATATACACTACTTCCATATAGTTACTTGAAATAAATCTGTACGTAAGATTGAATATTATCTCCAAATCCAGTTACCTTAGCAACAAATGTTATAGAAACCACAATGAGAAAGGCTTTTAAATCAATTGTGCTGGTTGACTTTGAACCAATTCACTTGTTTTTGTTTTATCATTTCCTAATCAATATCCACAATCAAGTCCCAGAACTATAAAAGGAACTCAGAAGAGTACCTAGCTTGGTCACCTGGTGAGTGATTAAATCATCAAGGGAGGGTAATGGGTTATTTTTTTCTTGATCCTCTCTAGAGACTTGAGAAACTTTGAAGGTGTAAACTCCTAAAGGGCAAAAAATCTGCGCAAACAGATTCTTCCAAATAGTTTTGTTTGTGGGTTGTAGTGACTAAAAACAGTGGTCAACAAACCACGGCTCACAGGTCAAATCCTAGCCTAGCATCTGTTTTTATAAAATCTGTGAGCTAAGAATGCTTCTACATTTTTAAATAGTTGGTGGAAAAAATCAAAAGAAATGTAACATTTCATGACAAGTTTCCGCGTACATAAAGTACATTTATTTGAATGCAGCCACACCCATTTGTATATTGTCTGTGGCTGCTTTCATGCTACAAGGGCAGAATTGAAGAGTTGCAAGAGACCGCATGACCTGCAAAGCTGAAAATATTTACTATCTGACTCCTTCCAGAAAAAGTTTGCTGGCCTCTGATCTAGACAATTGCAATAGTAACATCAGTTAATACCAATTGCAATAGTAGCATCAATTAATTTTCAATTATTCGCCCCTATCTTTTACTTCCTTCATTTATGACCCTAAAATGAACTCATCTGAAAATGTTAAACCAAAATAAAATCCAGCAAGTGTGTAATCTCTGGCCACTTCCTGTGAAGGTGAACTCCATTTTAGCATCCAAAGAATAAGTCAGGTGTTAGGATTTTTTTTCAGTTTACTCCCCTTGAGTCCTTTTCTTTAGGGTGGCCTTAATTTAGGACTTGGGCATGTAAACCTGAGATAATGTTCATGGTCAGTGGACAATAGATGAGAGGATACGTAAGTCCTCTGAAGAAGTTCTACTCTATACATCTTTACTGTCAAAAGGTAAATGTGAGCAATACACTGACTTTAAACAGCCAATACAATGAAAAAAAAAGTAATGGAAAGTGTCTTGACTGTGTTGAGACCTGAGTTCAAGGATGAGGACCTTTGAGACAGAATCAGATCAAGGAATGGGCCAGATGAGGCAATTTATACTTTTCACCTACTAAAACATCTGATTCTTCTGTATTGAAGAAATGTAAACTGGTCCTGTCTGCACTGAAGTAGACAGCACTCTTAAGTGATAATAAAAACTCTAATGCAACTGGAAACATCCATGAACAGATAAACAGAGTGTAATTCCACCCTTCAATGGACTATTACTCGGCAATAAAAAATAACTACTGCTACCCACACCAACATGGATGAAACTCAGAATCATTATGCTGAAGATGCCAGACATAAAAGACTACATTCCTGCCTGGCTTCATTTATAAAAAGCCCAAACTAAGCTGTAATGGTTAAAAATCAAATCAGGGGTTGCCTGGAGGCTGGAGGTGAAAGGAGAAAGGAAGGCTATAAGAAATCTTTGGGTGTGGTGAAAATGTTCTGTATGTTGATTATGGTAGTGATGTAACAGGTATATAAAACTTTCAAAACTCGTATTGCACATGTTTAATGGATGGAGTTTATTGTTTGTATATCATTCCTCAGTAAAGCTGATTAAATACCACTCATGCACACCTAAAAATAAATAAATCAATAAAATAAACTTGCCAATAAAATCATCTTCCCACCATGACTCCCAGGAAATTTACTTTCATTAGGAAGAGAGAAATGATCTGCATATTAGCCTCCCATTAGGAATGACCACGAGTCACAGGAAGCAGCTCTACTGACACACGTCAGAAGACAGTTGACCAGGTCTGTCTTGAAGAACTAGAGTCAATCGATGACCCACCACCTGGGAACCTGGAGACCCCAAAAGGTAAATGACTAGACCCAAGCAGTTGTTCAACATAACCATTTAAACCACCTTTTCTCTCCTGGGGAAGAAAATAATGACAAAAATCTACACAAAAATACTATGAAACATTTTTAATCCTGGAAAGGACTTGATCACTGGTAACCAAAGAGGGGAAAAGTCAACAGGAATAGAATCCAATCTTTTAAATGAAGTGAACACATATCAAATTGCTCAACACTGTTAAATGGCATGATATAATTTATCCATAGAAGACATAGTCTCATTCAGTGGAAAGCTAATTTAAATGTTTCGACAGAGCGCTAAGAGATATTATAGGTAACAGCTGACTTAATGGAGTATTTAAGCCTTCAAAACTGCCTTTTAGAAAAATAACAAATAACTTCTACCACTTAGAGGGGAAAGGAAGTAACAACTGTCAGCTAAAAATCATAGAAACGTGATTAATTTGTTTATGCCTTTCAACATTCCACTGAGATCTGCAAACAAAGGCAAGACATAAAATTAAAGTGAGTTCTATGGCCAGGACTGATCTGAATATTTTCCTCACAATATTCCTTCTGTCATACTTCTTCAGTGCTTGGAATAAAATGACAACCCACTGGGATCCAAAGGAAATAGTCAGCTCTTTCCAAAGATGGGACTGAGCTGCCAAAATCTATTTTATATCTAAAATTAGAAATAAAATAAATATATCCTTGAATACCAACTATATTTTCAGAGAGTTCATTAAAATTTAAGGCATTTTTGACACATCAGAGATTTCAGTCCAGTGACAGGAGAATAAAGAAGCCACCTGAGAGCAAATCCCAATTATCTCTATGGCTTGGAACATACATGTTGAGCACAGCAAAGATGGAGAGAGAGGTGACAGGTGACTATACGGAAACTTCCTGACTCTGTCCAGTCTGTATGACTTTGCCAGGGTTCCTCTAAAAGGGTGCACTTCAGGTGTATTTTCATTCTTCTGTTTCAATTTTGATCAAGATGGGGAAAGGGTCATCAGCACTGCTGGCAGGATAAAAATGAACAATGCCCAAATAATTTCTTCGTTATAATAAAATTTAAGAAATTAAACGTGGAAGACGTTTATGTAAAGCAATGCCCTCCTTGAATTTCACGACAAACAATAAAAAAACGGCAACCTCACCTATACTCATGAATCCAACAGTAGTGATGTACACAAAACAAACATTCACTCAACAATAACAGAATGGTGCAGTGTTTTACCCACCAGTCAAATAAATTCAATTATTTATTTTTGTCTCATTTGCTCCAAAACTAAGGATGACCTGCTGAATCAAAAGTTACAAATCAGGGGCTTCCCTGGTGGCGCAGTGCTTGAGAGTCCGCCTGCCGATGCAGGAGACGCGGGTTCGTGCCCCGTTTCGGGAGGATCCCACGTGCCGCGGAGCGGCTGGGCCCGTGAGCCATGGCCGCTGGGCCTGCGCGTCCGGAGCCTGTGCTCCGCAAATGGGAGAGGCCACAACAGTGAGAGGCCCGCATAACGCAAGGAAAAAAAATGCAGTGGGGAACAAAATAGACTCAGACCCTGGGGTCATGAAATTCAACTTCTAGTGATGGAAATGACATGAAACAAGAAAAAAAAAAAAAAAAAAAAGTTACAAATCATACCTCATTGACAGACTTGGGGCAAAACATTCAACAAACCCTGCCCCTATGCCCTGCCTCTCTCAGCCAATCACCCGGCTTTTAAAAAATCTGGATTAAAACCTATAAAGATCACTGTTTATTCGAAACAAACCAGAGCACCTTAGATTATAAATGGTCGGGAAACTCCCCTCTTTCCCACTTCTAAAACAATTAAGTTTTACACAAAACTGGTCAAATCCAGCTTCATTCAAACTTCTTTCAACCAACAATATTTAAGTCGCACTAATACCAATATAACCTGTCCATCATAGGAAATATGACAATTACCTGGATCATTTTTGAATAAGAGCAACGACACTTATTTCGTAACTGCTTATGGGACACAACCACATTCTTATTCTGAATACAGTTATATGCAATTTTCTAAAATTCAATCCCTGCCTTGCTAACTTAAAAAGAAAACTTCCATAATCCTTAAAGTCTTTGGCAGGAAAATAAGCATATAACCTTTGATGCTTGACATAGGGTAAATGTCCCACTGTCGTTTTCTGGAGACCATGAAATTATCCCAATACCTTTGTACAGTGGTCTGTACTTATAGACAAGCCAGCCCACTTTCTTCTCATGATTTTGCAAGTGATCTGATAAACAAGCTTTCCTACTCATTCTAAATTATACTTCAAGTATTACATAAATTGTTTCAAGCCATTTGACTTTTATAATAGTGTCAGCTTGTTTGTACCAGTGGAAGGTCAAGGCTTCCCCTTATCCTTTTTTTTTTTTTTTTTTTTAAGAATCCCACTTTCAGTCAAGCCCTTCTTACCAGTTCCAACAAGGATGGAATTTCAAAGGCGATTATAAGTTAGATAACCCAAGCACATGCTGACTCTTCATTAAGAATTACTGCTTACTTAGGCTTCTGAAATCAACAAGGATACCCTATGGAAAAATGAAAAATCTATTGTCTTTCTTTGTTCACCATTTTTAATAGAAAACATGTTTTAAGGTCTGTCAGGAAAATAAATAATGGGAAAAAATAACTGTACCTTAAAAATTTTTTCAAATCTTCCCCAAAATATAAACAAAGACATAAATGGGATCACAATGCATATGCTCACATCTGCCTTCCAAACACACTTTTTATATAGAATTCATAAAGAAGAAAAGTTACCCATTAATTATATGGCATGCATCAGCAGTGCACTCGTGGGCTTAACCTTGGTTTTGAGTTATTTGTATATACAGATAAATCTCTTCCTGAGTTGAGCTTCATCTTCAGTTGAGACTCAAAACATTTGCTTTCTTATTTTTGGCAAGACACTTGACCATGTTATAAGGCAATCTAACATTTCAACCTCCTTCCCCTTTCAGCGGCATGGCCCTCCTCTGTGACATCACCAATGTGCCAGATACGAGGACAGGCTCTAAACTATGGTCCTGTAAAACTAGAGAGCAGGTTTCTTTGTTCATTAGTCTGAAGGCTACAGCACTGTCTTTCATATATTGGGAGATCTTGAGGATTTCAGTTGAACAGATTCAAAATGGTCTTCTTTGTCCTATGGGGGAAAAAAATATTAAGATAAAATCAACTCACTAAAATTCCAATAAGATTTTAGGAGCTTACATATCCAGAAACTAAGTTCTGAAATCATTTTAATCTACGTACCTGCCACTTGTAATTAGGCTTTTACATTTAAAGGAGGGTGGCAGATATAAAACAGATAGCATGCCTACCCTGAATGATGCCTTTTTTTTTAACTTTTTATTTTATATTGGAGTAGAGTTGATTAACAATGTTGTGTTCGTTTCAGGAGTACAGCAAAGTGATTCATTTACACATATACATGTATCTATTCTTTTTCAGACTCTTTTCTCATTGAGGTTGTTACATAATATTGAGCAGAGTTCCCTGTGCTACACAGTAGGTCCTTGTTGGTTATCCATTTTAAATATAGCAGGGTGTACATGTCAATCCCAAACAGATGTCCAGGGGATAAGACACACAATCCAAAACAGAAGCAAACACATGACTGCAAAAGACACCAAAAGATGAAGCTGTGATTCTTGTGAAGAAATCACTGAGACCCATGCAAGGGGGATATTTGATCCGGGTGCTGAAATAGATGACCTATCCATGCAAATTGTAGACAGTAAGCTAAATATTCTCAAGATAACACAGGGTAAATAATAAGAAAAAAGGAGAGCAGAAATAAAGATAACACCAATAAGACACAAGATCATTTGGGTCCACTGATATGTCTGAGGAAAATCTTTGGGAATCATGCCTACTAAAGATATTAAAAACAAGTCATCTTGGATAATAAATCAAAATTTTAATGCAAATATATCATTGCTGGCATTTGTTATATAATACATTCAAAATGTAGCCTGTTAAGATAAATTATTCTTCTTTAATGGGGAAAAAGAGAAATAAGAGGTGAGGTTTCTCCCAATGTTTTCATTGTTAGACAAAGCTTTCCAAAGGTTGTTGGAATGGGGTGGGGGAACTATGCTGTTGAAGAGAATAAAGATGAACAGAACTAGGATTATTTAAAAATAAAAGAAATATGAGGCAGATCAGTCCTGGGTGCACATGGATGTGTCTCTAAAACAGAGAAGTGAAATGAGAAAACAACAGGAAATAGATATTGAGTATCTGTCAGGAAGAATGAGGTTGCTGTTGTGTCTTCTCTCATTTGAGTGGAGAAATCAGAGACTTCAGATCAATTTAAGGCCACATGGTCAGGATTACAGGAAAAAAATCACAGCATGAACACCAGCATATCCCATTTCCCTGCCTCTACCGAGACGACAAGCCCCTGGGAGAGCAGCCTGCAGATAGCAGCGCCCTAACCCACTGGCTCTGGGAGAGCCTGCCTGAAGTCTCATGTTCACCAGCCTTAATTTTCTAGGAATAACCATCGATAATTCAAGTATTTATTAAGCACCCATGTGTTACAGGAACAGGACTAGACGTTATGGGATACAAAACGTCTGCTCTCAAGGAGCTCACAGTGTATTACAGGAAAGAGGGTTAGAGTATCAGCCATGAACTGTAAGAGAAAGCTGAGCTTTCTGTGGCCCTGCCTTGAGAAGATGTGATTCAACTTGTTCTTCAGGAAGGGGAGGCAGAGACCTGTTGGTTATCCTCAAGGTAATGTTTCAAGTAAAACACTGAAAACAGTCATGTTATTAGGGCCTCATTGGGCTTTCGTTACCATCTCCTCTGTGTTCTATGTTCACATGGGATTTTGCTCCTATGGCTGATGTGGTGGGATATATACCCACGCACGCGCGCGCGCGCGTGTGTGTGTGTGTAGTTAACACTACTAACTGACTGGGACTTCCTAACGGCAGGAATTGTATCTTGTTCACTTTTTAATTCCCATAATATGAACCAAGGCCTAGCACATGGCTGGCTGTCAATCAGTGGTTGTGAAAATGTACTGAAACACCACCATGCAGAAGGAAAACACCTGGACTGGAACTCAGAATACGTGGTTTCTAATTCCCATCTCACCCACTCTTGGACAAATAAGTGAACCTCTCTAGGTCTCAGTTTACTCATGCATTAAATAAAGATGCCCTATAAAATGATCTTTTTAAGCTCTAAATTCAAGAATCTACTCAAAATCCAACTTCTCCCAGAAGCTTCTCCTTAGCTTGTCACTACCCACCTAACTGTACTCCGTTCTCTTCTGTACTCCAAGAGACCCTACTCAATACTCTTGTCATACCGGATTATCCTGTGTATGTGGGTTGTGTGTGTGCATGAATGTGTGTGTTTGATGTGCATGTGTCTTCCATCAATAAACTAGTCTCTGAGATTAACTGTGTCTAATATGACATCTCACCAAAACCCGGTGGATAGTATCCCATAAATGACTGTGACATGAACAAAAGGGGAAAAAAATCAACTGAAGATATTTTTTAATTGTTGAGAAAAGTCAAGTAATCTATAAATGAAACTCCACAAATCCAGTGCATAAGGAAATACCAAAGAAGTATGGCCTTTAGAACATGAATAAGGATATATATAAGACAAAGTAAACCTTACTTGACACAGTAGTTAAGAAATTTATAAAGATTTTTGCTCCATGAAATCATATGTAACATTTTTAAAAGTGGGACACACATAAAAAAAATTTAAAAATAAAAAGTAAAAAAAATTTTTAAAGTGGGACACAATAAAACTTGTACAATGGCATTCATAGCAGCTTTATTCAGTCAAACACTGGAAATAGCACAAGGGTCCATCAAAAGGAGAACAGATGAACAAACGTGGCAAATCCATACAACAGAATACTCCTCCACAGGGAGGAATCTGCTATAGATAAACACAACAAGGTGGAAGAATCTCAAAAAGATTTTTCTGAGTGGAAGAAAACTTACACAAAAACTACACTCTCTGGCATTACGATTATGTGAAGTTCTGAAACAGGCAAAACTAATCTATAGTTTTAAAAGAGCATCACCAATAGCTTCCCTTGGGGGATGGGGATTGAGTACACACATAAGGACATGAGTTAACTTTCAGACATCAGACTAATGTTCTATATCTTCACAGGATTTAGGGTTACACAGGTATATTCATTTCTCAAATTTCATCACATCGTGTATTTGTGAAATATACATCTCACGCTGTGTAAACATTTTGCCTTTAAAAAAACTTAAAATATTGAATTCTCTCATCAATTATATGTAAACTGAAGTGTTTAGGCTCAAATGTATTGAAGTCTGAAACTCACTTTGAAACACATCAAAAAAAAAGAAGATAGATCAATAAATGGATAGAGGGATGGAGAGATATGTAATAAAGAGTAAGATTTACGTGGTGAATATATGGTTGTACCACTGCACAATCCCTTCAACTTTTCTGTAATACTTCAAATTTTCATCTTAAAAAGTGAAAAAAAATTCATTACATTGACTAAAATTGCTATTCAAAATAAAATGTGGCACACTGCGGGCTTCCCTGGTGGCACAGTGGTTGAGAGTCTGCCTGCCGATGCAGGGGACACGGGTTCGTGCCCTGGTCCGGGAAGATCCCACATGCCGCGGAGCGGCTGGGCCCGTGAGCCATGGCCGCTGAGCCTGCGCATCTGGAGCCTGTGCTCTGCAGC